GGGTTCGATTCCTCAGCACCACATAAGCAAAAAGAAAAAAGCCGGAAGTGGCGCTGTGGCTCAAGTGGTAAAGCGCTAGCCTTGAGCTGAAGAGTTGAGGGACAGCGCCCAGGCCCAGAGTTCAGGGCCCCATGACCGACCAAAAAAAAAAGTCTAAGTCTCTGTAGCCAAGTATTCACAGTGGGAAGTTGTGAGTTCTTTCTCTCTCCAAGTGTTATAGTTCTGCAAGGCCTGTGTATAAGGAATGTTTATTTTAATAATCAGAACGAAACTGTTCTTTAATGATCCAGTCGCTTGAACTTCCTATACGGGGAGGAGGTGTGTGGGAGGAGGCGGAAGGGGAGTAAGTAGGGAGGGAAGGGAGAGGGGAAGAAGAGAGGGGGAAAAGGGGAGAGAGGGGAGGGAGGAGAGTGGAGGGGAAGGGAAGAAAGAAGAGAAGTAAAAGGGTAGAGGGGAGGATAGAGAAGAGGAAGGGAAGATAGAAGAGGAAAGGGAGTGAGTGAGGAAGGAGGGGAAGGGAGGAAGGTCGAGGAAAGGAGAAAAGAGGAGGGGAACGGAGTAAACGGTGTGGGGAAGCAGGGTAGGGAGGAGGAGAGACATAAGAAGGAAGGAGGAGCAGAGGAGGAACAAATAGACATTTAGCCAGAGACTCAACACAAAGCCATAAAAAAACATTCTGCACCACCCAGGCAAGGCGCGTGCGTGGTGGTCAGGAATCCCAAGGACCCCACGGCAGCTCCAAGCCGCCAATCAGTGGCCACGCTGAACGTCGGCGTGCTGCGCCGTGACGTCAGAGCAAGATGGCTGCGCCCTGCAGGTCTTCTTCCGGCTTCTGAGCCTGTCTAGCGGCTGGCCGGGACTCAGCCTCGGCCGCCTTCGCCCCGCATGTTCTCCCTCCGAGGCTGCGGCCGCCGGGTCGCGGCTTCTCTCCGCAGACGGCCCCTGTCGTTAGGCCGGCCCGGCAGCGACAGCGCGGCGCCTGGACCCCCGCACTTCGACGTGGTGGTCATCGGCGGGGGCCACGCGGGGACCGAGGCCGCCGCCGCCGCCGCTCGGTGCGGCTCCCGCACGCTGCTCGTCACGCACCGCGTGGACACCATCGGTGAGGAGCGCGGCGTGGACGCCTTTTTCCAGCCCGCGAGGCCGACGAGACACGGGCCCGCAGCTCAGGGTTTCTTCCCGCCGGGGTCCCGCCGGCCGGGGTCCCGCCGTCTGTCCGCTGGGGCTTGCGTTGCAGGATGCGGGAACGAGGAAGGGCGGCCCCGGCAAAGTTTAAACATACTCAGAGCTAGCTTGTTCGTTCTTGGCTTTACCTTGCTACTTCAGATAGAGAAGGAATTAAGCCGGACGCCATGGCTCACGCCTCTACTCCTTGCTACTCAGGAGGTTGAGGCTTGAGGGTCATGGTTTGAAGCTAGCCCGGACAGAGAAGTCTGTGAAACTCTTGTCTCCAGTTAACCACCAAAGGCTGCAAGTGGAGCCGTGGGTCAAGTGGTAGGGCGCAGGCCTTAAGCAGAAAAACTGAGCGCCCAGGACATGCACACACAAACATACTGTGCACACACATACACACACTGTGCTTGATTTAGAGGAAAGTTTCCCGAGTTAATAATTCCATACTTAGGGGCTGGGAAGGTGGCTCCGTGGTAGAACGCTTGCCTTGCATACCTGAGGCCCTGGGTTCGATTCCTCAGCACCACATAAGCAAAAAAGAAAAAGCCGGAAGTGGTGCTGTGGCTCAAGTGGTAGAACGCTAACCTTGAGCTGAAGAGCTGAGGGACAGCGCCCAGGCCCAGAGTTCAGGCCCCATGACTGGACCCCATAAAAGAAATTCCATACTTATAAGGAAAGGTCAGCCTACTAAAGTAGTGAAATTATGCACCAGTGGAAAGTTACAGAAGGAAATTCAAATATTCTCTTGTTGGATGCCCTGGACAGCTCTTTCATTCCATTGGGACTGTGGGATTTTCCTTTTAGTATCTTTCAAGTTTTCTGGGGGTTTTATTTGTTTCATGTAAGATAATTCTAGTCCCTATTAAGCACTCACAGTATGTAAGATGACTATTATTTCATGTCAATTCTTTTTAGGTCAGATGTCCTGTAATCCTTCCTTTGGTGGCATCGGGAAGGGACATTTAATGAGGGAAGTAGATGCTTTGGATGGCCTGTGTTCTCGAATCTGTGACCAGTCTGGTGTACATTACAAAGTATTAAACAGGCGGAAGGGGCCAGCAGTCTGGGGACTGAGAGCTCAAATTGATAGGAAACTCTATAAACAAAACATGCAGGTAAGAATAAGACATGGGAATGGGCAAGATGGTGGCAGTTATTTAATGCATGGTTTCAGTGGCAGTCTCTTTTTAGAAAGAAATCCTCAATACACCACTGCTTACGGTCAGGGAAGGAGCTGTAGAAGACCTCATTCTCTCAGAACCAGAGCCAGAGCATGCTGGGAAATGCCGTGTCAGCGGTGTTGTTTTGGGTAGGTACTGCTTAATGGTGTCATTGATGTCATGACAAATTATTTTAGAGAAAGATATGGAGATTTCTTTTTTTTTTTTATTCTAGGGAATTGTATTTTCTCAGCCTAGGTAAGGGATACTAAATCCTCATGTTTTTCCTTTCATTTTGCCTGTCATGAAGGTTTGGGGCTCATCAGTAGTGTAGGTCCCTGTAGCCTGCATAATTGTGTTTTTTCCTCTTAGTCCTATTGTCATTTCTATTTTTTTGTAACAGTACTAGCTTATTTTGGAGGAGGAAGGGGTACGAGTGCTAGGTCTTGATTTCAGGGCCTGGATGCTATCTCTTAGTTTTTTTCCGCTCAAGCCTAGCACTCTAGTACACTTGAGCCACAGCTCTGCTTCCAGGTATTTGCTAGTTAATTGGAAGTAAGAGTCTCATGGACTTTCCTGCCAGGCTGGCTTCAAACTGGGATCTTCAGATCTCAGCCTCTTCAGTAGCTAGGATTATAGACATGAGGCACTGGTGCTCTGCTTAGTTAAAAACCTTATGGTTACAAACTTAACGTATATGTTTTTATTTAAAGAGTTGTGTATTTAGAGATTTGGGGACATGGCTCCAGTGGTAGAACCCCCACTCTGACTCAATACTACCAAAAAAGAAGGGAGCAAAGACACCATTGGCTCATATCACTGTGATCCTCCAGGTTTTAGCTTCTTGAGTAGCTAGGACTACAGGTGTGAACTACTAGGGCACTCAGCTCATTTAAACCTTTTTTTTTTTTTGGCTGGTCATGGGGCCTGGGCACTGTCCCTCAGCTCTTCAGCTCAAGGCTAGCACTCTACCACTTGAACCATAGTGCCACTTCCGGCTTTTTCAGCTTATGTGGTGCTGAGGAATCAAACCCAGGGCCTCATACATGCAAGGCAAGCACTCTACCACTGAGCCACTTTCCCAGTCCCGATTTTAACCATTTTTAAGACTGCAGTTCTGTCGGGCGCCAGTGGCTCACACCTGTAATCCTAGCTACTCAGGAGGCTGAGATCTGAGGATCACAGTTCAAAGCCAGCCAGGGCAGGAAAGTCCGTGAGACTCTTATCTCCAATAAACCACTAGAAAACTGGAAGTGGCGCTGTGGCTCAAGCGGTAGAGCACTTGTCTTGAGCTGAAGAGTGCAGGGACAGTTCCCAACCCAGAGTTCAAGCCCCACGACCAACAACAAAAAAAGAATGCAGTTCCATGTCATTAAGTATATTTACCATTTTTTAACCTGTGTATGTTGTTATATATGTTTGTATTTTAGATCTAACTTCTATATATGAGAAAAAAAACAGTGCTGTTTATCTCTGTGAGGCTGACATAATTTTTTCCAGCTACATCCATTTCCCTGTAAATGACATAATGTTAAACTTTCTGATAGATGAGTAGTAAAATTCTATTGTGTGTATACCACATCTTCTTGATCCACTGATTTATTGTAGCACATCTAGTCTATTTCCATAATGTGGCTCTTGTGAATGGTACGACAATGAACATGGATATCCTAGTGTCTTTACTATATCTTGATTTGAAATATTCTTGGTAAATGTCCAAGAGTGGTATCATTGGATACCATATTGTTCTGTTTTGTTTTTTGAAGACTCTCCAAACCATCTTCCAGAGTGGTTGTACTGCTTTACCTTCCCACCAACTGTAATATGGTTCCTTTTCCCCCCACATCCCCACCAGCATTTGTTATTGTTCATATTCTCTTCTGGCCAATCTAACTGGGGTGAGATAGAATCTTAGTGTTAATTTGATTTGCATTTCCTTTATGGCTGGAAATGTTGGGCATTTCCTCATGTTTATTGGCCAGTCTTCTTCTGAGAAGTCTTTATTTATTTAACTCTTTTGCCCATTTATTAATTGGGCAAAGGGGGGGTAGTTTCTTTAGCTCCTTGTAGACTTTGGATAATAGACCCTTGTTGAATATAGCTGATAGGCTGCTGTTTTAGGTTAGCAGCTATGTCTTTAGCTGTGTAGGAACTTTTTAGTTAGTTGTAATCCCATTTGTCAATTGTCTCTCCAACATACTGAGCCTCTGGAACTGCCAGTAAGTTCTAATGTTTCTCCTACTCCTTCCTATAGGACTTTTTTAATGTTTCAGGCCTGACATTGAGGTGTTTGATCCATTTTGAGTTGATATTAAAACAAACTGACAGACACGAGTCTTAATTTCAGTCTTCTACATATGGATGTGAGTTTTTTCCAGCATGATTTGTAGAAGAGGCATTTTTCACCAAATACATTTGGCTTCTTTGTCAAATCAGGTGGCTATAAGTATATGCGTTTATTTCTGGATCTTCCAGTCTATCCCATTGGCTTTCAGGCCTGTTTTTGTGCCAGTTTTAATCTGTTTTTTTTTTAAATTTATTATTATTATAGCTCCGTAATGAAGTTTAAAGTCTGGAATCGGGATTTCTCTATTTAGGGTATTTTGTGGTTCCATGTGAATTTTTAGATTTTTTTTTTCTATCAGTGAAGGACAAAGTTTCGTTTTTGGGTTTTTTTATTTTGTAATTTTAATGTAAAGTAGTCATTCTGTGGTAACAATAAGAAAACAATTATTCTTTTTTTCTCCCTGTTATTCAGTGGATGGAAGCACAATTTCTGCAGAGAGTGTGATTCTGACTACTGGGACATTTCTCAGAGGCATGATTGTAATTGGGTTGGACAAGTATCCTGCTGGACGTTTAGGAGATCAGTCTTCTGTAGGTCTGGCCCAGACTCTAGAGAAGTTGGGATTTACAGTGGGAAGATTAAAGACTGGGACTCCTCCCCGAATTGCCAAAGAGTCTATTAATTTCAGCATTCTGAACAAGCAGACACCAGATAACCCGTCCGTACCATTCAGCTTTCTCAATGAGACTGTGTGGATTAAGGTAAAACAAGTCATGAAAACCTGGCTTTACAGGGTTACTATAGCAAATATAGCTGAGTCATTTCTTTCCTTTTTCTGTTTTGTTTTTTGTTTTTTTTCTTCTCCACTTTGTGGACTTGAACTCTGGGCCTGGGCACTGTCATTCAGCTGAAGGCTCAAGGCTAGCGCTCTACCACTTGAGCTACAGTGCCACTTCTGATTTTCTGGTGGTTTATTGGAGATAAGAGTCACAGACTTTCCTGCCCGGGCTGGCTTTGAACCGAGATCCTCAGATCTCACCCTCCTGAGTAGCTAGGATTACAGGAGTGAGCCACCAGCACTCTCTGTGAGATTCTTCTCTCCAGTTAACCACCAGAAAACCAGAAGTGGTGCTGTGGCTCAAGTGGTAGAGTGCTGGCCTTTAGCTGAAGAGCTCTGGACCAGTGCTCTGGTCCAGAGTATAAGCCCCACAATCAACAACAACAAAAAAAGAGTAAATAGTATAATGAAACATTAATCATCACTCGACTTCAGCATGTTACTTTTTTTTTTTTTTTTTGGGTCCGGTCGTGGGGCCTGAACTCTGGGCCTGGGCGATGTCCCTCAGCTCTTCAGCTCAAGGCTAGCGCTCTACCACTTGAGCCACAGCGCCACTCCGGCTTTTTTCTTTTTGCTTATGTGGTGCTGAGGAATCGAACCCAGGGCCTCGAGCATGCAAGGCAAGCGCTCTTACCACTGAGCCACCTTCCCAGCCCAGCATGTAACTTTTTTTTTCCTGTTTTGTTTATATTGGTCTGAGTTCTGGGGCTTGAACTCAGGGCCTGGGCACTGTCCCTGAGATTCTTTTTTTTTCTCTTGGTGTGGGTCCTGAATTCTAGGCCTGGGCGCTGTCCCAGAGCTGTTCAGCTCAAAGCAAGTGCTCTACGACTTGAGCCACAGCGCCACTTCCACTTCTGGCTTTTTCTGTTTGTAGTATCAAGGAATCAAACCCAGGGCTTCATTTATGTAGGCAAGCACTCTACCACTTTGAGCCACAGTGCCACTTCTGGGTTTTCTGGTGGTTAGTTGGAGGTAAGAGTCTCATGGCCGGGCTGGGAAGGTGGTTCAGTGGTAGAACGCTTGCCTTGCATGCCTGAGGCCCTGGGTTCGATTCCTTAGCACCACATAAGCAAAAAAGAAAAAAGCCGGAAGTGGCACTATGGCTCAAGTAGTAGAGTGCTAGCCTTGAGCTGAAGAGCTGAGGAACAGCGCCCAGGCCCAGAGTTCGGGCCCCATGACTGGACCCAAAAAAAAAAAAGAAAAGAAAAGAGTCTCATGGCCTTTCCAGCCTAGGCTGGCTTTGAACTGTGATCCTCAGATCTAAGCCTTCTGAATTGCAGGGATTATAGGTATGAGCTACTAGCGCCTGGCTTCCTTCCTTCCCTCTCTTCCTTTTTTTCTTCTTTTCTAGTGTCTTGCTTAGACTTAGGTTCATCTTTTGGGTTCCTTATCTGGGACAGGAGTACTTCCTAAGTAGTTCACTCCAGGCATTATACATACATTGAATGTCTATTAAGGTAGGTAGATGCTTGGCACTGGTGGCTCACGCCTGTAATCCTAGCTGCTCAGGAGGCTTCGATCTGAGGATCGCGGTTCAAAGCCAACCCGGGCAGGAAAGTCCGTGAGACTCTTATCTCCAGTAAACCACCAGAAAACCAGAAGTGGTGTTGTAGCTCAAGTGGTGGAGCACTAGCACTAGCTGAAGAGCTGAAGGATGGCACTCAGGCCCAGAGTTCAAGCCCCATGACCAAAAAAAAAAAAGGTAGGTAGATATTGTGTGGGCTTTATTTGGATCAGAGACAAACCACATATCTGGTTATTATGCTTATAGCCAGAAGATCAGCTGCCTTGTTACTTGACCCACACCAACCCCAGAGTGGATGGCATTGTCCTTGAGAACCTCCACCTTAACAGTCATATTAAGGAAACCACAAAAGGGCCTCGGTAAGGACAAACTATCAGTACTCAGTTACTTTAGGGAATAATGTCCATCTTTTTTTGTCATTATTAATGCTGTTATTCATTTGAATTTCTTTTATTCCAATGTCCTTTTCTAGATACTGTCCCTCTATTGAATCAAAGGTGTTACGCTTTCCAAACCGTGTCCATCAAGTTTGGCTGGAACCTGAAGGATTGGATTCTGACCTTATCTACCCCCAAGGCTTGTCTGTGACACTGCCAGCTGAACTGCAAGAAAAGATGATCACAAGTATCAGAGGCTTAGAGAAAGCTAAAATGATTCATCCAGGTAAAGAGAATCACAACCTCCTTCAGAGCAGCTCAGCATTATTAGTGAGAAGCTTATAGCTACTTTCATTTTGTCTTAGAGCTCAGTATTATTAGTGAGAAGCTTGTGGCTAATTTCATTTTGTCTTAGAGCCTCAGAAGATGAAGCTCAATGTTTATACATTTAAAATAGGCTTTTTTTTTTTTTTTGCAGGATATTCATTGAGGGGGAAAATCCAACTCTGCTTTTTATTTATTTAATGCAGTTTTCTTTGTCAGGTTATGGTGTTCAGTACGACTACTTAGACCCCCGTCAAATCACACCTTCTCTTGAGACTCATTTGGTTCAACGACTCTTCTTTGCTGGACAAATAAATGGCACCACGGGTTATGAGGAAGCTGCAGCTCAAGTAAGAGCTTAATCAGATGTTACAGTAAGTCAGAAAGGAAGCTCACACCAGTGGCTCATAATCCTTACCACTCAGGAGGCTGAGATCTGAGGATCATGGTTTGAAGCTAGCCCATGCAGGAAAGTCTGTGATACTTTTAATCTCTAATTGATTACCAAAAAGCCAGAAGTAGAGCTATGGCTCAAGTGGTAGCTTGCTAACCTTGAGCAAAAATGCTTAGAGGCAGAGTCCAGGCCCTGGACTTATGCATGGGCATGTGTGTGTGCGCGTGCACACGCACACACACACACACACACACAGCTCCAAGGAGATACAGCTTGTCAACACGGCATGTTCCTATTATGCTGAATGTCTCCACCTCATGGCCTGCTTACAGGCCTGTTCCTCTTCCCTGCTTGCAGATCTTTCCTGGTGGTGTGCTGGGTGAGATAGCTGTGTGCTCAGTTCATAATGGCCTTGTAAACATTGCAGTCCTCTCAAATAGGGTGTGATAGCTGGAATCAACGCCAGTCTGCGGGCCAGTGACAGGCCACCCTTCATCGTGAGTCGGACAGAAGGCTACATAGGAGTATTGATTGATGACCTCACCACTCAGGGCACCAGTGAGCCATACCGAATGTTCACCAGCCGTGTGGAGTTCCGCTTGTCACTGCGTCCTGATAATGCTGACAACCGGCTTACATTCCGAGGTAACTCCACCGAGTCCTGTGACCTGATTTATTGTTCTTTAAAACTTCTCTTATCAGGCACTGGGATTGTAGCTTAGTAGTAGAGTGCTTGCCTAGAATTCATGAAACCCTGGGTTCAATTCCTTGATACCACATAAGAACAACAGAAAGGGGGCTGGGAAGATGGCTGAGTGGTAGAGCACTTGCCTTGCATGCACGAGGTCCTGGATTCAATTCCTCAGCACCACATAAGGCAGAAAAGCCAGAAGTGGCACTGTGGCTCAAGTGGTAGAGCACTAGCCTTGAGCTGAAGAGCTGAGGGACAGTGCCAGGCCCAGAGTTCAGGCCCCACAACTGACCAAAAACAAAAATGGAAAAAAGTTATTAAAGAAACCATAAAAATAAAATAGAATGTTTAAAAAAACAACAAAAAAAATTTCATGGCATTCATTCTCTTCCATAGGGTACAAGGAAGCTGGCTGTGTGTCCCCACAACGATATGAAAGAGCTTCTTGGATGAAATCTTCTTTAGAAGAAGGTATTTCTGTATTGAAATCCATTGAGTTTTCCAGCTCCAAATGGAAGACATTAATCCCACAGGCTTCTATGAGCGTTAATAAAAGTGTGCCTGTGAGGTACGTACTTTTTTTCCTAGTGGTATTGGAGTTTAAACTCAGGGCCTTATTCTCACTTAGTTTGCTTACTCTGCTTGCCTTCTGTCATTTGAGCTATACCTGTTCTCCTAAATAGTGCACACGCTACTCCTGAGTCTTGAATTCAGGGCTTAGGAACTGTTCTTCAGCTTTTATGCTCAAGGCTAGCACTCTGCCACTTGAGACACTGCTTAACTTCCTGTGCTTTGGTGGCTAATTGGAGATAAGAGTCTTATAGACTTTCCTGCCTGGGCTGCCTTCAACCACAGTCCTCAGATCTCAACCTTCTGAGTAGCTGGGATTACTGGTATGAGCTACTGGTGCCCAGTTCAAACAGATTTTAAATAACATTTGCATTATTGCTAATATTAGTAATAAGTAGAAGTTTATTGTTACAAGTATTAAGTGAACACCTGACTAAGTGAAGAACAGGTCACTAATAAGGATGGTGGGTGTTTTGGTCTATTTAGGCTATTGTAGCAAAAATTCCTTAGGGCAGCAGCAGGGCACTTTTTTAGTTTGTTTAATGCCCCAGCACAATCAATCATCAATCAACAAGTAAATAAGAAGCTTTTAAGAACCGAACAATTTATATACAAGAAAAATGTACTTGTCACAGTTCTGGAGACTTGAGAAGTCCAGGATCTGGTACCAACAGATTTGGTGTCTGGTGAAGCTTATTCTCCCAAAATAGGACCTGCTCCTTGGACCCTCTCATGGCAGAAGGAGCAAACAGACTCCCTCCCCCATGTTGCTTTATACAGCTTCTAATCATGTTCCTTAGGGCAGGTCCCACCTTATAGTAATAGCAACAGAAAATGAGGATCCAACATATAGGAAACACCCAACATGCACACCATAGCAGTGAATATATTTTGCTACCACCAGTTTTAGTCCGGTCCATTTGATGTTATTATAAAAAATACCTGAAGCGGGCTGGGAAGTTGGTTCAGTGGCAGAGCACTTGCCTTGCAATGCATGAGGCCCTGGGTTCAATTCCTCAGCACCACATAAGCAAAAAGCTGGAAGTGGCGCTGTGGCTCAAGTGGTAGAGCGCTAGCCTTGAGCTGAAGAGCTGAGGGACAGCGCCCAGGCCCAGGGTTCAGGCCCCACGATCGGACCCAAAAAAAAGAAAAAATACCTGAAGCTGGGCGCTGGTGGCTCACCCCTGTAATCCTAGCTACTCAGGAGGCTGAGATCTGAGGATCCTGGTTCAAAGCCAGCCTGGGCAGAAAAGTTCGTGAGATCCTTTTTTTTTTTTTTTAAATTGTGAAAATACTGTACAGAGGGGTTACAATTACATGGGCAAGATAATGAGTACATTTCTTATCAAGCATTGTAGCCTCCTCCTCTGTTTCCCCTTCCCATCACTTCCCATCCCCCCCCTCTTTTTTGGGGGGGGTCTAGTCGGGGGCCTGAACTCTGGGCCTGGGCGCTGTCCCTCAGTTCTTCAGCTCAAGGCTGGTGCTCTACCACTTGAGCCACAGCGCCACTTCTGGCATTTTCTGCTTATGTGGTGCTGAGGAATCAAACCCAGGGCCTTATGCATGCAAGGCAAGCACTCTACCACTGAGCCACCTTCCCAGCCCTACATACTGTATTTTTAAGGCAGTTTATCAAAATCACCAATTTGGAAGTGAAACTCCCAAGTTTGGCAGCCTCATCTGTTGGGCGTCTGGTGATAGTATGGTACAGGTGGCATCATGATGATAGAAGTATGGAGAGGAGGTCACAAAGTAAGGCCAGAAGCCAGGGTTTCAGGTGCCACAGTTGGTCTTCTTACAGCAGCTCACTAGTGAGGACTAACTTCATGAAACTCATATTAATCTCCCCTCCCCGCCCCTCCTTTTTTTTTCTCTTGTGGAACTGGGATTAAAGTCAGGGCCTTATACTTGTTAGGCAAATGCTCTATGTCTTGAACCATGCCCTGGTTCTTTTAGTTTTAGGTTGCCTTTCAGATAGTGTTTCTCATGAATTTTGTCCAGGCTGGACTCAAAACTGCAGTCCTCCTGGGGCTGGGAAAGTGGCTCAGTGGTAGAGCACTTGCCTCGCATGCTCGAGGCCCTGGGTTCGATTCCTCAGCACCACATAAGAAAAAAGCCGGAAGTGGTGCTGTGTCTCAAGTGGTAGAGTGCTAGCCTTGAGGTGAAGAGCTGAGGGACAGCACCCAGGCCCAGAGTTCAGGCCCCACGACCAGACCCCAAAAACAAAAAAAACAAAAAAACAAAAAACTGCAGTCCTCCTGTTTTTACCTCCAAATGCTATAGTGGATATTACCACTATACCCTGCATAGCATCGATCTTTCCTAGAGACAACACCCCCCAGCAATCTAGTTACCTTCCATCGTTTTTCCTCCTGAAGGTTTCACACCCACTCACACTGGGGACCATGTGCCCAGAATATGAGCCTTTGGAGAACACTCTCAAACCATAGTGTCCCCAGAGAGGAGTGGCACTGCACTCTTGGTCTCAGGGTCAGACACAGGGGTTTAAACAGATTTATTGAAGTGAAATGAAAGCAACCCCATGGGAGACTGAGGAGGGCAGTTCAACCACATACCCAGCCACAACTGCTGAGTCTTCATTTTAACCACCACAACAAAAAAAACCGTGTTTCCATTTCCTAGAATTTGTTTTAGTAGGAAGTATTTTAAATATTCAGAGGAGTTAAAGCCTTTGTGTTCCTTCCGCTAAGTATATCCTTCTTTAGTCTGTAAGTGAATAGAATGCTATATAAGTTATCATGTCTAGTTGTATTTTAGATCTAGCTTTCACATATGAGAGGAAAATGTGCCATTTTTCTCTCTGTGCTTGGCTTACCTCACTTAATATGATTTGTTCTAGGTCCATCCATTTCCCTGCAAAGAATATAATCCTATTCTTTCTAAGAGATACATAAAATTCCATTGTGTATATGTACCACATTACAAATGTGTTCTTTATAGAGTTTAGATATTCTAAGTATGTTTTCTTTTTGGAGTTTTACAGTTTTGAGTATGCAATGTCATTATGTTGCAAAGTACATTTTTTCCTGACTTATTTATTGTCTTGGCTTTCTTGGCAAATCATTTGATCAAATACCTGACAGTTTAAACAAATTAATTTAAAAAATAAAAAAAGCCAGGTGCTGGTGGCTCATGTCTGTCATCCTAGCTACTCAGGAGGCTGAGATCTGAGGATTGCAGTTCAAAGCCAGCCTGGGCAGGAAAGTCCATGAGGCTCTTTTGTTGTTGTTGTTGGTGGTGGTGGTGGTGGTGGTCATGAGGCTTGAACTCTGGGCTTGAGTGCTATCCCTCAGCTCTTTGGCTCAAGGCGAGTGCTCTACCCCTTGAGCCATAGCACCATTTCTGGTTTTCTATTGTTTTATTGGAGATAAGAGTCTCACGGACTTTCCTACCCCGGCTGGCTTTGAACCATGATCTCAGCTTCCTGAGTAGCTAGGATTACAGACGTGAGCCACTGGCACCCACTTCCATGAGACTCTTACCTGCAATTAACCACCAGAAAACCAGAAGTGGTGCTGTGGCTCAAGTGGTAGAGTGCTTGCCTTGAGCTGAAGAGGGACAGTGCCCAGGCCCAGACTTCAAACCCTACAACCAAAAATAAAAATAAAAAGTCTGGCCAGGTGCTGATGGCTGATGCCTGTGATCTTAGCTACTCAGGATGCTAAGACTCGAGGATTGTGTTTGTAATCCATGAAATTTTATTATGGGTCCGGTCGTGGGCCTGAACTCTGAGCCTGGGCACTGCCCCTCAGCTCTTCAGCTCAAGGCTAGGGCTCTACCACTTGAGCCACAGCACCACTTCCGGCTTTTTTTTTTTTTTTTTTTTTGCTTATGGGTGCTGAGGAATCGAACCTTGCCTCAAGCTTGCAAGACAAGCGCTTTTACCACTGAGCCACCTTCCCAACCCCATCCATGAAATTTTATAACCACAAAAAGCCAGAAGTAGAGCCATAGCTCAAATGGTAGAACACTAGGCTTGAGCACAAAAGCTCAAGGATAGGACTGAATCCCACAGTTCAAGCCCCAAAACTGGCAATCAATCAATAAGAAACTGGGTTGCCATGGCTTATGTCTGTAATCCTAACTACTCAGAAGGCTGAGATGTGCAGGAAAGTCCATGAGACTCTTACCTCCAATAAACCACTAGAAAACTAAGTGACGCTGTGGCTCAAGTGGTAGAGGGCTCGTCTTGAGCTGAAGAGCAGAGGGACAGCACTCAGATACAGAGTTCAAGCCCCACGACTGACCCCAAAAAAAAAAAAAAGAAGAAGAAGGCTGAGATGGGATCCCAGTTGAAAGCAAGCCCAGACAAAGTTTGTGAAGCCTTTCTCTCCATTTAACTACTAAAGAATCCAAATGGAGCTGTGGCTCAAGTGGCATAGCACTAGCCTTGAACAAAAAACCTCAGAGACATGACCAGGCCAGTGCCGTGCACTTTGCCAGTCCTGGGGCTTGCACTTCCAGCGTTTTCTGTTTATGTGATACTAAAGAATCGAACCCAGGGCTTCATGCATGCTAGGCAAGCACTCTACCACTAAGCCACATTCCCAGCCAATTTTTTTTTAAAGCCAGAAATGATGTATGGCTAAAGTGGCAGAACACTAGCCATGAGTAAAAAGCCAAGCAAGAAGAACATAATGCCCTGAGTTCAAGCCCCAGTATTAGAAAAAAAAAAAAAATAGTGTTACACAAGGGTTTTTGGTTTTTTTTGGGTTTTTTTGGGTCCGGTCGTGGGGCCTGAGCTCTGGGCCTGGGTGCTGTCCCTCAGCTCTTCAGCTCAAGGCTAGC